AAAAAAAAGATCAACAAATACTGTTAAAAATATATGGCTCAAGCAAAACGAGAAACAGGAAAAAAAAAGGTAAAGGAAAAAAAACAAAAAAAAAACAGACTTACTGTCCCTCCCACTATTCTGCCCAGTGGGTACCAGGCTCTCTCGTCAAACCAGTTGAGAAACTCATAAAAGCCATTAGTTGTGAGATGATGAGTCGATCTGTAGTTGAACCTGTAAACAAAGAAAAACAGATGAGAACATTATAATGAAATTTTTTTTAAAAAGAGCATTTTATCAACACCGGCATGTCACAATGTGTTTGACGGCGAGAAGAGGTGTGTGTGTTAAAACACTTCCTAAATGACAGTTCTTTCTGTATAAATACTCAGCTGCCAATCACCACCAATGCTGAAAACTACAACTAGAACATCCTAGTGTTCTAGTTGTGGAAGCACTTAAACCATTAACACAACCAGCTAAAATATGGACTATTTAATGAGATGGAAAAAGACGTTTCAGCTATTGAATCTTGAAGGACATGTATTTTCAAGGACAAGAATAGTTGACTCCCTGTGTTCAGTGCACACAAACAGGAAAACACCTGTTCAATCAGTCATGCATACTTGAACAAGGATTTCTGCTGGTTTGTCCTTTAGGCCAGTTTTTCTGCCACAAGATGAATAAATAAAAAAAAAAACTCAATGATACAGAGTTGAATATTATAGACTTAACCAAAAATAACAAATTACTTAAAAAATAAATACAAAATACAAAGGTAGTACTAGTACTAGTATTATACACGCATATATTATTATTATTAATTTCTTTATAAAAAAAAAAAAAACACTACTTATTTATTAGGTGTTTTATTTCCAGTTTTTTTGTGAACACTATAAACACTCAAATGAATGCATTTCCTGATAGTCTTTATCAACGTGGAACCATTAATTTGATGCACACTTGATTAACAAAAACCTCAAACAAAAGCACTATGAACAAGGCTGCAATTAACGGTGTAATCCTCTCTAATGCCTTTATCAGCCCAAGTTCAGCAAACCGTGTCCTGCTATCTCTCCAAACTTCAGAGTAGTCATTCTGAAACTTTTCTTCACTAACACCAGAATAGAAGACAAGTAGCTTTTTAAAACTCCCCATAAAGTTTTAAACTAAACATTCTATTTTTAGTAGAGCCCGACCGATATATCGTTGTTTACTCCCTAATATCGGTATCGGGCCCAAAAAACCCATATCGGTCGGGCTCTAATTTTTAGCATAGAAAAAGCTCAGGACTAAGCAAAGCCTAGTTCACTAAAAATACATAAGCACGATAATATATGCATGAAGAGTCCTGTTAAAAGGAAAACAGAATAATTCACAGAATAATCAGGTGATATTTTAACAACTATGACAAATAATATATTAAAAAACAGTTGGATGAGTAAATATAATTTCTATCTACTGCATAATAAAATAAATAGCCATAGACGTTCAATGAGAGAGCAGGAGCATTCAATGGACCTTAATCAGGGATACTTAATTTGCGCAAATGAAAATTAAGCTACGAGGAAGAGACAATCAAAGGCTAGTCAACTGCTCAGCCGAAACACTGAAAATACACAGTTCCTTCAAACAATGATTCTGAGAAAACTGGCGTGATATAGAGATGTTATATAGGACCTCAAGACAGCACAACCTATTAGAACGAACAGTAGCTAACCCTCACAGCCTCAATCTCATTCACGTAAAATATAGCATCAGGCCTGGCTAGGGTCCATCAAATACTCCTCTCTTATTGAAAGTTTACAGCTCCAGTAGATTCCTGATTGCTGCTATTGTTAATGCAAGTAGATTGTGTCCACTGGGACAGAAAAGCATTATTTCTGGATTTATTTAATCAGATTCTGCATTCATGGCAAGTGTCAGCACACGGCCTGCAATCAGATTAATGCCCTCACTATTTTGTAATACAGCCATCTCACTGGCAAGAAACGCTCAGTGTTCGCAAGAGAATCTGGCAACCCGACGCTTGAGTAGGAGGAACGGCAGAACTGTGAATCATGTGTATTTAAAGACCCTATTAAAGCACACAAACAGTCCATCAGTGACCCTGGCAGCTAACTGACACCACAACCTGCTAGCTTCCATTCCCGCCTCGCTGACCTTTCTTCCCTCTCTAGAGAGGCTAAAGATTCAGGAACCTTTAGTGGCATAGTCAAACTCTCCATTACGATCTGATATCTGAACTGGGTCCTTGGCATTCACTGAGCACTGCAATGTCCTTCCTGCAAGGAAAAAACATGAACACACCAGCAAAAGCGTATTATACCCTTGTTGTCAGATTTTATTGCTGATTTGAGATATATTATTGAAATGCAATCTTCTGGCAATTTTTGTTCCCATTCAAGCAGACAGAAAATGTACTCAAATGCCTATTACCTACACAAATAGCTTCCCGGGGATGCTGTTATGAAGATGCCCATCGAGTAAACAGACTTGCAGTAAAGAGACTTTGGTTATATGCTGCTAAGAGTCGAATCTTTATTCCATGATGGATGTTTAATCAACTACAGGCATTTTGGCCCTTTAGAAAATAAACTCTTAAACACACGTTTAAATGTTAAAATTCAATTTATCCAATAAAAGTTAACAAATGCATTGCAGATGCAAATAATAAAAATAATAAAAAACACTTTGTGTCTGAGGCTAATTTCATTGCTAGCATTTTATGAATCCTACACACACAAAAAAGTCACTTTTTGTATCATTTGTTAAAATTACAGTTTGACTGTATGTGATGCACAAAATATCCTGTTTAAGTGTTATTTACCTTGATTGAATTTTTGTCATGCATTTACTACCATTCAAAAGTTCATGGTTGATAAGATTTTTTAAATGTCTTTGAAAGAAGTATCTTATACTAACCAAGGCTGCATTTATTTAACCAAAAGCAAATAAAAAATAAATAAATAAAATATTCATGTGATGCAAAGCTGAATTTTCAGCAGCAATTACTGCTGAAATAATATGCTGATTTAGTACTTAAAAAACATTTATTTTATTATCAGTGTTGTGGAAAATGTGGTACATTTTTCAGGATTCTTTGATGAATTGAAAAATCAAAACAAATGGCATTTATTTTAAATAGAAATATTTTGTAACATTATAGATATCTTTACTGTCAATTTGAATCAATTTAATGGATCCTTACTGAATAACAGTATTCATTTCTTCCAAAAAATTTAAATGAAAATAATAATAATACTAACCCCAAACTTTTACCCAAGACTCATAAATCATTTCAAGCATGCTCTTCAATGGCACAAGGTTGGCAAACAAGTACAGTATAAAATTAAGAAAATGACTGTGGGACAGCCATAATTTAATTTTTTTTATTTAAATTTATAAACGTTTAGATGCTCATAAATTAGTACATGCAATAATACAACAAGGATAAAACCAAAGCTATTGAAATGCAGCAAAAGTTATAAAAGACAAAAGTTCAAGAAACACCCTAATGTTTCCGTGACTGCAAACTGTCCTCTAACAATCATCACCAGAATAATCACAGGGAATAATCACAGGGAAGTCACCCGGAAACGACCCAGGGTGACACTGAGCCATGTCATTTTAAGGTGAGGTAATCTCAGCAGAAAATGTGCAAGACTATCAGATTTTGTGACCGTATTATGAGCTGGATACATAGAGATGTCTTTGAGAGCAGTGAACTGGATTTCTTTATTCTGCAGTTTAACCTCCGTGACACGTGTTCCGCTCGACGTTCCCACTGACTCTGAACTCCGCACTTCATAAAACTCAATTTCTCACCCGGAAACGACCCAGGGTGACACTGAGCCATGTCATTTTAAGGTGAGGTAATCTCAGCAGACAATGTGCAAGACTATTTTGTGACCGTATTATGAGCTGGATACATAGAGATGTCTTTGAGAGCAGTGAACTGGATTTCTTTATTCTGCAGTTTAACCTCCGTGACACGTGTTCCGCTCGACGTTCCCACTGACTCTGAACTCCGCACTTCATAAAACTCAATTTCACACTGCGTGGACATACACGCAGAGCTTTGAAAAGGTCCCATTCAATGGCGTGGAGCAACCTAACATTTAATAACAGCCACTGCAGAGAGGCTGGAAATTCTCAACATAAAGGTTGTTTAAATCGTGAAGTGTCTTGTACACAGAGTGGCTAAAATCCAGAGTTGAGAAGAAGTGCTAAGGCACTTGGAAAAAGTAGAACAGTTTTTTTTTTCCCAGAAATTAAAAGGTATCAGTTCATTAAATGTTGCAGTAAAGGCAGGGTCAGGTTAATATCTTGTTGCTGGGTAAATACAACTGAAAATGGAATACCTATAGTTAAGAAATGAACCGAGGAATCTAATAATTGCCTGTACAACCTGAAAGAGCTCAACCTTGTAGCATAAAGGAGCACTCACACTGATGCTGATACCGTGGGAGGTTGACAAGGCATTTTTACTTCATTGAAGTATCCAAAGAAGGCAACAAATTGAGTGAGTTTCACTGTCTCCAACAGTGAACTTCAAATCTCCAACTATTATTGAAAACAAATGACTTCCAGTCACATCGTTGCTGCAAATCGCTCTCCATGTAAGTGCCCATTAAGACCTGGTATAAGGCATTACGGACAAAAAGGAAGAGAATAAAACGTATTAAATCTGGAATGTCTCACAGCAACAGAGTATCATAATGAGACTGAGGGCTGCCTGGACTCAAGGATTGGTTTCTTGTAAGTCCGATTACTTCTCTCCATCACACAATGTGTATATCAGAGGGCAAAAGTCAGACATTTCAGACTTCGAGATCTCAGGGAGGATATCAGCAACACATTTCTCAGAGACTGAGAAAATGATTGGAAAAATGATTGTAATAATTTACCCTGAGTCGTCAGGCTGGGTAGCTTGTCATATTAATTTGATGGCTGACATTACGCCTGCATCACCTTCATCAATTTAATCAGGATGCAGGCATGAAGCATACAAGGAGTTTGGAGTCTGGAGCAGATTGGAGTCTGAGGTTGATGAAAACGGAAAAAGTTGCAAATATGGAAGATGACAAACTCGGAGGAAAAACTGTTAAAGGGGTCATATGATGCGATTTCAAGTTTTCCTTTCTCTTTGGAGTGTTACGAGCTGTTCATGAATAGATAAGATCCCTGAAGTTGCAAAGAGTAAAGTCTCAAAACCAGACCTACAATAATGT